AAACCATACATACAAATATCTCCTTATTACATTAAGATGTTCATGATTGTTATTAAAAAGTACATTCCAATTTGGATGTATCCATGGATGTTCTTCCTGTTCATATGTCTTCCTTACAAAAGCAAAAAGGAGAGTATTGCTGAATTAAAGCAACTAGTGACTTAAATTCTAATGTAATCTAATCTGCAATGTTGGCCATAACTGACTGGACCTGACTGGACAAGCAATTGGAGTTTGAGTCAAAGCCAAAGTGGTATGAGTTGTGTTGAGTGAGCATGGCTTAGAATGAAGGCCTGCCTACTGTATGGTTGAGTGGGATGTAGGAAATCCAATTATAACCTTTATGGGTTTGGATGTGGAGGAGACAAAATACCAAAGAAAGGTGAATTATCTTGAACCAGAATTTGATCCTAAGTCACTTTTCTCCATGAGGCTTTGCTACACAGTCCCACCCTGTAAGCACTAGGGTTCAAAGTGGGAGACTGAATAGCTGGAAAGCGGACCTTCTCTTCTACAGAACAGACCATGAATGTACCTCAAAGGCTCATGCACTAAAGGATTGGTTCCTCAAGATGTTCTGGGGAGAGGTGGTGGGACCTAAGCATAGGTCTTTAGGTGATTGGAGGCATGGCGTCAAGGGGGCTTATGGAACCTTAGTCTCTTCCCCTGTCTGTTTTGCTTCTCAATAGTGAGGTGAGTTTTGCTACTGCACTACTCCTGGCATGAAGTCTTACCTCATCACAGGTCCCAAGCAACAGGGCTGACCAATCATGAACTGAACCTCCAAAACAGTGAGCCAAAGTAAATTTTGTCTTTTTTTGGCGGGGGGGGGGTTTTGCCAGGGATCGAACTCGGGTCCTTGCACCTGCACAGCAGGCAGCAAAACCACTGAGCTAAATCCCCGGCCCCGACTTTGTCTTTTTATAATGTGATTATCTAACATTTTTTTGTTATACCAACAGCAAGCCAGCATACTTTCCTAGCTCATGTTTCTTTGTCTACTCTCAATGACTCCCTTATCTCTTCCTTGTAGAATTAAAAAGTCCAACTAATGTAATTCTAAATACGTACTACATGCATTAGCAGTTTAGAATGTGAAATTGAAACATTGCTGATTTGGGATGATGACACACTTGTGGAGTACAATTAACAAGAACACCATAAAATAGTTATCACAATCCATGGAAGGAAGAAATTATCATTTTATATGCTAAAAACCCCCCAAAACAGTCCTTCAGATAGCAATTACTCAATTATCTTATTTACTATTATATAAATTATGATACAACTTAAAATTGTTCATGCATATTCTGTCATATTTAATAAGTAACACATAACGTTACTTAATAAGCCATACATTACATGGTGTGTGATAACAGCTACTAAGTAAATGTCACATGTATTTTCTGTTCTCTCAGTCCTGACAGCTTCATTTTTCTTGTTCCAAGCAGGATGTTAATAATATAGGCAGGATTTGAATCTAGTCTTCTGATTCAAGTCCAAGTACTCTATATTTTATAGCTTATCAGCATTCTAGCTATATAGAATTTAAACATAGCAAAAGCTAGATGGGAACTCACATAATACATAACTCATGATGATTTATTTCAGCTAAAATGTATGGCTATTTTCTAAAGAATTCACTTTCTATGACACTCACATAGCATTACTAACACAATTACTTTTCTTTGTTTCCTTATCAGGTAATTTACACTAATACACAGCTGTCAGCTGGCTGCATTTCTCATGACCAAAAAAATAAGTATTGCACATCAACAGAAGCTTTTGCGAACCATTGTGGCATTATGTATACCCCAAAAATTCCACATGAATTAAAGTTTTGTATAAATTTCAAGCTTGACTGATATTCCAACTGGAAAGAAAAACAGAAACCACTAAAGTTTCCAGATATTCTCATGGGGAATGAAATGTAACTACAAGTGATTATCTGATTGAAGATTCCACTGATCACACTTTCAAAATACTTCATGAGAAAAATAATCAAATATATTTGCTTCAAGCTAGACATGTTCAAATAATACCTTTAAACTAACAATGAAAACTGATTAACATGTGACTTTACAAAGATTTTTTAAAATGGCATCTCATTCCTAGCAGATTAACTAGAAAAGATATCCAAGAGCGCCCCCTGGAGTGAAATCTAGGATAAGCTATATATTTTAGAAAATAACTGAAAGTTGCACATAATAATTATTTTCACAGAAAAATTAATATCAATTTTTATTGTACAAGTAGTACAGGAAGAGATCAGCATGGTCTTTTACCCAGATCTTATTATATTCATGTCTCTCCATGTCAGTATTCTATACACATTTGACTACATGTTTCCTGAATGAGATACTATTTTAGGGAAGTGTTTTGGTTGTTTTTGTTTTTTGTTTTTTCTGGCACCAGGGATTGAACTCAGGACCTTGCGCTTGTGAGGCAGGTGTGGTGCCACTGAGCTAAATCCCCAGTCCTCGGATACTTTAAAGGAGAAAGTGATTCTAAGATTCACTTTGAAAAATGTTGCCCCTCCAGATAACCCTTTGGCTGGCCTCTTGTCTTCCTTTTTTTCTTAGCAATAGTCCTAAAGTTCACATGCCCAACATCCGCAGAAATATTTGTGTGATGTGCTGGCAGGAAATATGTGGGCGCATGTATGCAGATATGGTTGGAGAAGACATAAACAGGTATTCTCGTAGAGTATTACAATATCTATAGGCGATTAGCTATAAGTTTTTTTCCCTATATTACAAAGAGGGACAAAATCTTATGACCAAGACATACACTTCTAAATGGGGCTAATTAAAAACTACTCAAAGATCCCTTTCCATGGCTCTCCCAAGTCCAAGGCTGGCATACAGCTCAGGTACCTTGTGAGGTATCTGCCCAGAAGACCCAATACTTGGAAAGAGGCATCACTTAAAGTTCCAAGTAAGGCTGTTTTTTCATCTGAATTTGATTCTCTCATCAGATTTTCAGTGATAGAGTACATACTGAGAGAGTGGGCCATGATACCTGTTTTCTCTCATGAAACACTTCTAAGAAATCTCTCCTCCTAGCCTAAGAAACTTTCAGGCCAAATGCTGCAGTAAAATCTCCAAACTAATAATACCCTTCTCTCTGGGCCCCATTCCACCTGCAGTAAGACTTAAGGGAGGGGCACAGAGCCATTCCCTTCATCTTGTTTGAACTGAAAGCTGGTTCCCCTTTCTCAAATGATAGCAATTTTTCACCATACTCTACTTCTATAGGGTTACCATGTGTGAGATGATCTCCCTGCTCTCCACTGCCTATAGCAGAACATTGCTTACTTCCTACTTAGAAATAATCTCAGATCCTCTGAAAGACAGGGGGACAGCAGGTTATGAAAGTTTAGCAGGACTCAGTCTCATTCCTTAAGAGAGCTTGTTCTAAAAACCATATCTCCCAAATCTGCAAACTGTTTCAGTTTGGTCCCTTACTTTCCTGATCAGTAAAATGAAGGTCATAGTAATAGTTGCCTCCTTGAGTCCTTAAAGATTTAATAAGTTAGTCTGGTACAAAGCAACACTCCATAAATATTAGCCACTGTTTCTACTCAAGATCAGTCAGTAACATAAATGCCATCTCTTAGTGTGGAACTAAAAAGATACCCAGGCTAGGGAAGGACAGCCATTACAGGTATTTAAATATAATTAATTCTATTATTTAAGGAAGAATAATAAAGTTTAGGATTGAGTGAGTGGCTAGTAGCACTGAGGGGGGAAAGCTGCCAGCCTTCAGTTTAGATTAAGAGAATATATTAAGTAGATAAAATAAATCATAAAATATTATAAAACATGAATTTATTTACAAACAAAAAAACATATTTGAACAAACTTTAAAAAAGAAAAACTTTTATTCTTATAAATAGGTTTATTCAAAAAGCAATTTTAAGTGACATGAACTCACAATATAATTTTAGAAGACAAACATCTCCATTTTAGAGTTTAGTATCTAACAAAATGTAAAACTTTTTTAAAAATTTAGAACACATATTCATACTTTTAAAATAAAAGATTAAAGTATCTCAATTTTTAAATACTACCCCAAAATGTCATGTTTAATGGTTTGCTTCCAAGTGTCTCTTAAAAAACTAGGCATTTTCAAACAACTGCATGCCTCTATGTAGTAACAAGGGTCTTTGCTTCTGTATGCATGAATATGGCTGAAGATGTAAGCCCTGGTTTCCTCTTCCCTTAAATTTGTATGGACACACACATACCAATTTGAGACATTGTGCCAAAAGCAAAAATAAAGATATGATGGTACATGAAAGCCTATTTGCCTTTAGAGGAGCCAAACTTCATGCTGGACTCATTTTTCTGACCTGGGAAACTAGGCAATATAATTACATTTGAGACAACTCTTCCTTCTAAACTGCCACAAATAGTCTTTGTCCCGTTTCCCCCTTGACTGAGAGTAGTTAAAAACAGTAGGGTTTGGACAGGATGCCTGGTTGTAAATCCCGCCTCAGCCAGTTATGCTGCAATCTTGGGCAAATACTCAGCACAATTTCTTGATGTGTAGGGTGCTACTGATGGCAGTACTGATCTCACATGGCTGTTAGGAGAATTAAATGAGAAAATCGGGTAAAGCACTGAAGACAGTGACCAATACAATTCTATGCCAGTTTCAAATCCATCATGAGCACCACTTGTTTGTAGGAAAAGATTCTAAATGCCTTAGGAAGCAAACAATGCCATATGGAAAAGTATATAAGGTTGTAGCATCTCATATATGGTTATAAAATACAAAAATTATTATTATTATTTTTTTTGGTACCGGGGACCAAACTCGGGTCCTTGTGCTTGTGAGGCAGGTGACAGAACCACTGAGCTAAATCCCCAGCCCCCAAAATTATTTTTTTAACATTTACTTTAGCTTCATACAACTCAGAAATCATTTTTAGTAATAGTGTAATAGACATGGATAATATAAATCTTTGAGGTTTAAAACAAAACAGAACTAAAAAGTGAATTCAAACAAAGTTTAATTACAATAACACTTTGAAATGTAGCACAATATCACCACCTAGTGAACACTAAGTTGAAAATTTTTATACGGGTTTCCCCTCTTTTTTTTTTTTTTACTAGGGAGCTAAACCTTTTCATTCATATTCTTCCCACTCATATGTAGGACTAAAAATATATCTTACAAGTACACTGAAACATAACTACAAAATCTATTTTAGGTTGTACATTTCAAATTATTTCTAAAACAGAACAGAGTTAAGTAGTTTTGTTCAAAAATTTAAAATATATCAGAGACAGCATGTAAACCACCAGAAATATTTCATGACTTATCAATTAATGCAACTAAATTAGCTGTAACAAACTTATGAACACAAAATCACAGTGCTGTGAGACATTTTTGACAGACACTGTACCCTACCTCGCTATATTGGAATCTACTAAAGAATCTCTGGTAAACAGAAATTTTCCATCCAATGAATAGCAAACTTAATTTCTAGGGGGTCTATTTCTCTGCAGAGAATAAGCAATTAGAAAATTTCTTGAGTAGAAATCTGTTGATTTATACTTCAGTTGATATAGGACAATCCTTTGAATTAATCATTCTTTGTATGAGAGCTTACGGAGTTAGTGAATTTCTATAAACACAACATATTCTTTTAATCATGTATTTGCAAAAAATTATAAACTCTCAGCATTTTACTCAAGCTCCTTCAAACAGCTGTTAGCATTTTTAAAAAACAACTACATCCAATACAAAAATATCATGCTATAAGTGATCTGGCTAGTGCAAAAGAAAGACAGATTATCAACTCTCTCCATATTCTTCTACTTCTCTTAATGAAAACCTTTCAGTGTGGCAAAAGAAAATAGTCAAAATCTCACAGGTCTAGGAGTCAGACCAACCTATGTTCATTTGGAGTCAGAGTGAGTGGATTTTGAGTGAATCACCAGATATATTTGACCTTTAGTTTCTCCAGCTATGTAGAAATCAACATCTACAATACAAGCATGAGTAGGATCAAATGAGAAAATATTTGTAAATCAGCCAGTAAAACACCTAAAATGTTCCAAGCACTCAGACAATGGCACCTATCATTATTGCTTTTCCTGTTTCTCCCTCATTCTGTATGTGCTGTTACACATGGCTCAAATGAACTGCTCAAGTTTCAGGAGGCAAACCTGATGCAATGTTTAATACTGTTCCTGTTAGAAAAACACACTACCTTCTTTTGGTATAAAGGTGATGGATTGAACTAAAATGCATTAAATTCATCAAAAGCTCATTAAAAAAAAAACACAGCACAGTATAGGTATTATTGGAATACCTCACTGTGACAAAATTTCTTACCCTACAAATAATTTTCAATCTTAAAGAATTTATTTTTTAATTCATGGGTATGTTAAAAGAGATACACTTATCCATTTTATTACAATCTTCTCAACTATGTTTTAGTATATTGGAAATGTGTGTCACCAGCATTTAAATATATACAAAGTACCCCAAACAAAAAATAATTACCACTTATTCCTAGGGTAGTAAGTACAGCCTAACACAAAATATGTGTGTAATTGGTTGGCATTTCTTTTTTCCATTAAAGTCTTATAAACCAGCAAAGTTGTATCATTTCTATAACTTAATGACTGAAGTTACTTTTTGTATTTTAAACAGCAATAATCTTCAAATCATATCCTATTATAAAAACAAATATTTACAAATAAATATACATGTAACTATTAAATGCTATAGCAAAGAAAACGTTTTAACACAAGGTCAGAAAATGAGGCAGAAAAAGTCAGGAGGCTCTTGCTATGAAATGGGATTCATTTCCTAAAACTATCTATGGTTATGTGGTTCATTTTTTTTAGGATAGCTATGTCATTGTATACTAAAAACAACTCCAATCAGTATACATTTACATGATATGTATAATAGGACATTTATGAACTTCATGAATATATGGAAGGAGATGAGTCTGTTCTGAAATGAGGATGGACCCATGCAAGACACTGAGTAGAGTTAGGACCAGTATTATTCCTATTTGGAATGAGGACCAAACAGCTTGCCTTAAACAACCTGCCTTATAGATTCCAGAGCCATAATCAAATATGGAAACAGTAATCCCCAGGTTAATGCATTTTCTACATGCCTGTAGATCCTAATTCATAATAAATTTCCACTTAACGAACTTTTTTCGGGATGGGGATTTAGCTCAGTGGTTCCACTGCCTGCCTCACAAGCACAAGGTCCCGAGTTCAATCCCCGGTACAAAAAAAAAACCAAAAAAACTTTTTTCACACTTACATTATTCTTGTTTTACTATTTAACAAAATTATAATTGCTTCAAAGATAATGCATTTTCATCTAATAAACATGAATTTATTTATCTGACACATATTTTATTGAAAAGTGGATCCAAAATAATAGTCCACTTAAGGGATATAAAGAACAGCTGTAGATCCCTTCTCTTCTCTAGATGAGTATGAGAAAATAATATCAAATGGCAATTAACTTCAAACTAGAAATACATTCTATATGAAGCTATTTATTAGAAATAAATGATTTATGGGCCAGGGATTTAGCTCAGTGATTTCGCTAGCTGCTGCGCAAGCGCAAGGACCCGAGTTCGATCCCCGGTACCAAAAAAAAAAAAAAGAAAAAAAGAAATAAGTGACTTAGGTTAAGGTATTTTATGACAGGCTAAGCACATTTCATAAATGACTCTAAGACGACAACATGGCCAGAGAATTAAAATTATTTCTCTTGCCATGATGGCATACTATGTTTACAGTAAAGAACACTATATTTCCAAATCATTTAAATACATAATCTGATGCAGTTATAAAAGATATATAGGCATCTGCTAAAAGAAAAACATCAATGTGAGGAAGCACACAATACACTGGAAACTTACCATCTATAGATAATATTGTATCTGTACAATTTCACCTAAGGTAGAACTAGCTGAAAATGATTACTTAGCCTAAAACAATTTATGGATCTTCTCATGGTGCCCTTTAATCCCATTCTCAGACCGGTTAACAGTGACTGCAAGTTCCCCAGACTCTCTGGGATGTCAGTATATTTTTTCATAATCATTTTTTAATCAAATGATTCAAATGAGTATAATTTTTCAAAACTCATGACAAAAAATTTACTGGATTATCCGTGGAAAAAGTTTAAAACACAAACATAATTTAAATGTGTGTAAAAGCCAAGATCTAAAGACCTAGGAATAATTGGTCTTCTCAAGTAGAATCATTTTACAGGAAAGTGTGGAACAGGATTTTGAACAATTAAAGGCAGCATGATCTATTGCACTAAGCCTGAGTATCTCTCACACTCTTCTAATTTGTCAAATATATTGGGAAATCCACCAGTCAATGACCATCTTCTAACTGCTCAAGAAAATTTAATCAAAACTTGTCCCTGAAACACAAAAATACTAGGAATCCGTTTTTAAATAAAAATTACTGAAAAATAAGTAGTTTAAATGGCAATAATCTTGAAATCATATCCTATTATAAAAACAACAAATATTTACTCAGCATTTATTTAACAGCATTCTTATCTAAAATGTCAAAAACTATATTTTATCTACTTTGTGGAAAATGAAGATTAATCTTTTCTTCTCTTCACGCAGTTGTTTTCCAAAACATTTCTTAAAGTGGAAGTGACTCAACACTAAAACAGTAAACTCTTCAAAAAGCAGTCTTCTTCAGTTATATAGGCCTAAAGTGTTTTTGCCAGATAGGTTAGAGTGGAAAAGTCTTCCTTTTAGAAATACTTCTAAACATTAGGACTTGTATTAGTTCCATCAAACAAGAAAGTTGTTTTTTCGTAAGTTGTTTTTTTTTTTTTTTTAATTTTGGCTTCCTAGATTTGGTTCTCCATTATAATAAATTTGTGGTAAAAGCATTATGTCTTAGACTATGCTTTTTCATTCTATTAAAAAGACATCTGGGTAATAAATATTTGTCCTGCTATTGTAACTGAATCAGTCTATTAAGTTCTGAAAAGACTGTATTTATAATTTTTACCTGCATACAATTTAATATCTGCAAGTGCAGAATCTACTATTTAAATCCAAATGTACTATTTAAAACCCAGAGAAAGTATAATCCAACACTGAAAGGAATTTACTCACACGTATAGCTGTTTTCATGTATTAAAAAAAAACAACTTAGAAATGTAAACTTAGGTCAAAAGTTCTATTCACAGTTCCTAGTTTACATGTCAAAGTTAACATGCCTCAAAATACAATTTCCTGCAGTGGAATGGTGACATAATAGAGGCACTAAGTACAGTGAACATGGAACCCAAACATATATACACATATCCTACCCCAGCAAGTATTCCCTAATCTATTGAACAAAGTCAGATCAAATGACGTCTCAACTTTTAATTCTAATATTTTTGGATGAAGAACTCAAATACCAATTTGATTTACATTTATGAACGGACCTCAGAAGTCAGCTTTTTAAAACTGTAATACTCTTAACTCAGACTGGTCTCTAAAAATGGGAGGAATTTTTGAAGCCACCGGCTCATGGTCACTTGTTATATCAAGGCCTAGGAAATGAATACAGTAAAATGTGCTTCAGGAAATAAAATTTTCTTTACAAGGTATTATAATTAATACCAGTTATCTCTGACCTTCATACATCTCATACTGGGAATTAGTGATACAGCTTCATCATTTTGAAATTTTAAATAAAAACCAACTTGATTCCTAGATAAACCTCTTTGTAACTTATGACTAAAATTCTATTTCTGAAATGTTAAATACCTTTCAATCAGGAATGCTGTCTGATCATTTGTCAATATTTCCCAAATATTTTGCTATTTCTTTCTGGAGAAAAATACAGTAAACTAGTTCTAGTACTCTGAAGCATCCCAGTTTTCTTAAACTTATACATGTAAAAAGATTCCAAGCTTTACAGTTATCAGTATCAGAGATACGACGAGATAACTGTAAACACTTTAATTTTCCATCATTTGGGCTTTTGAAGCAGACCTCATGCACTTTTTTCAGTTCTTTACACTGAACTTCCTCAGATTTGTTATACATGTTTAAAATGTATATAAAAGTCAGATGTGATCTTAGGACCACTGTAGTAACTAAAAGAAATTCCATAATTTTTACCTATTCAATTATTTATTTTGGAAACAGTCTAAATATTAAGTCTTAAAGTTCAAAACATTCTTGATATTACCACATAAACCTTTGAATATCCTGACTATCTGGCCAATGAAAAGTCTTGTTCAGAAAGATATAAAAAGTTAGGAAATTAACAAGTGCATAGCAACTCAGTTCACAAATAAGTCTGGAAGTGGGTGGCAGAGGTATGTTAACCCTATAAATAACATAAGGTAAAATAAAGTAACGGAATTCTAGCAGTTTCTGAGGAACTGTAGAAGTAAACAAGCATACGAAAAACATTAAATTCCAGAAAACTGATTTTGATTTCAATGAGTCAGCTATACTCCAACCAGCAAATATATAGCCTGGAACTAACAAATATTTCACAATACCATGTCTTTGAAAAACTCTTTTCCATACATAGAATGTATAATGTCTATTGTCTGCTAGCAAGTATTTATGAGTATAAGTGAACTTCCAAACTAAAAATATAGAGATTAAAGTAATCACAAGAAACTGGATTCTACGTTTCCAAACTAAGCAAAGAAAAGTCTTAATTTTGGTGAGAGATAGTAGGTGAGGAAATGAAAAAAGGAGAGTAAAAGAGCAAAAGTAGAAGAGCTGAGGAAAATGAAGACAGGCTTCGTGATTACTCCGGTCACCAATAACAATTCCACCATTAACTGCTACAAAGGCACAAAATGCCAACACCAGAAGGATGTAGGGCCAAGTCAGGAGGAAGAGCATACTTAGGTTTTTGAAGGACATGCAGTATCCCAAAAGAAACCGAAGAATTTTTCTGAATTCTGGAAATGGTCCTTTAACGGAGGGGAGCCTCTCTTCTTTCTTCTTTTGTAGCTCAGTTTTCCAAGCTTCAGTTAACTTCTGTGCAATAACATGTCCTGCACAGAAGACGGTCCAGATGATATTTGTTTGGCGAAACATAAAGCCCCCAAATCCAAGCAAGGCTGAAGTTTTATGATTTCCATAAAGACACATCAAATAAGCAAAAAGAGTAAAAAAGATGCTTCCTGCTTCTGTATAATAAAGGAAGTTAAAAAAATAGAGTGTAGGAAATACTGCCAGTGCCAGTGTTGACAAGATTCTCTGCATACTTGAAGCAGCCTTGGAGTGGAAAAAAAAGTAAAACTTAATTTCATGACAAAACACATATGTTATTTCTGGTGAAGGAATGGAGAGTTATTTAAAGAACACTACTTCAATCTTATTTAAACAAAACGTGTTCACTATTAATCTTTTCAACATGCATTTATAACAACACTTCCTGCTACTTTTTAGTCACAATTCTCAGTTTGGAGCCTACTAGAACAATGCATTTGTATGCCAATGCTCCTGTGGCTTAAAACATTTTGAATAATTCAAAAAAAGGTTGAGGAGTTACTGGGTATTACAGAGTGGACTAAATTCTGTGGAGAATGGAGAGATGAACAGGATACCATGCAGGTAGCTTCATTTCTCTGAGCTTAAATCTTAGCACCTTCAATAAACATTCACTTGGCCATCATCACCAATTTCCTCTAACGGTATCCCTTCAAATCCCTGTACTAACAAAAATATAAATGTGTGTAGAGCGTTTGTACTACTCTACTCAGTGATGTTACTTTTTATGATAAAATCATAGGATTTTCCAGAAAATAGTAGACCTAGTCTAAAGTTAAATATCTTCTTTTGGCCTTTCTGACAACTTCATAACTTAAGGGCTTTTATCTCTTTAAATTGTACCTTTCACTTAATCTAACTCACCAAATTAGAGCACGCCATTCCCTTGATTAAAATTAAAATTGGGCCATCAGTTACTAGAAAAGTTCAAAAACCTTTCCATGACATACGACGGCATCCTACAAGGAATACACATGAACGCACTCGTGTAAAGACATTCTTGACTTCAACCCAATTTACATCTCTCTATAATTCTGTAATTTCAAACAGTAATTCCCTGAACCTTATTGTTCCACATCTTTCTACCTTTGCTTATGTTGTTTCTTTGCTAGGATTACTCCCACCCTTCAGCCCTCTCTGTGCACTGTGATTCAGCTCTGGTGCCATCTTCTCTGTGAAGCCTAACCCAAGGCCACTCACCCCACTGCCTCCCCATCAGGCTGCAGTAAGTGCTCTTCAGCTCCTTCTCTGTATCCTGTGCGTCCTCACTGCATCATCAGTTCACTTCCCTCTCATAAATGCTACTACTGAAACTACTGTTTTCAATTGAAAATTATGACAATAGTTAATATTTACTAAATCTCTGCTATTTATAGGGCACTATCCTAAGCACCTTCCAGTTATTAAGCTCCTTTTTTCTTTATACCAATTCCATTATTATTATTATTATTATTCCTACTTAAGATGAAGTCATAGACATGAAAAGGATTTCTGCCACAGTAACATAAGCAGTAGAGGCAGGGATAGCATTCAAACTCAAGCACTCTACTTCCAGGGCCTGCATTCTTACATCAAAATTTCCCAGGTAAAGTTTGTTTCCTCTGAAGAAAATGTAAGTTCTACAGGAAAAGGCTGCCTCATACATTTTCTAGTCCCCGTGCCTAGCTCAGGAAATTAGCTCAGCAAATATTTATCAAACCTGTTTGCAATTCACTGATGTCTACTTTAGACTCATCTTTACAAGATATACAGAGACACTAAGTGTTTAAGACATTTTCCTCCAAATACCCTAAAACCTTCATCTTAACTGTGGACCGGACTACACATACTCTCGTAATAGAAACGTACCTTACTTCTGGGTTGCACCTTTCGGAAAAGCAAATATAGTAAATAGAAGTTGCCAACACTAAAGAGAAGATTGACGAATCTGAGCATTCCAATGGAGCAGACGACATGTTCAGACCATCCAAAGATCCAGCTGGCAGGCTTGACCACTCCCACTGACACCAGGTATAAGCCAGGTAAGGTCGTAATCATGGGATCCCACTTAAAAGGAAACACCAATAATGAAACAAAAGCAAGAAACAGTGGAAGACACAAATATGCCAAGCTCAAGCTTCATCTGTACCAACAATCCAGGATCTTGAGAAGTTTTTCTATGAGATGGTTAAATAAATCTTGAAGATCAGATATCTCCTTCTGGACATTTTTTTTTTTTTTTTTTTTTTTTTTTGCCTCTGCAACTGTTTGTAATTAAGATGCTAGCAGCCAACAGACAATAATTTAAAATTTATTTCTCTTTTCCAAGACTTGCTTTTTAGAAAGCCTGCATTTTGGGGACTAAATTGCAAAGGCTCCAATTTTACAAAGCACTTAAACCTTCCTTTAGAGAAAGAAGTGTTGAGAGACTGGACCACAGGCTCTGTAGTGATACTAATGTGTCCCAGTCCAAGGGTTGTGCTAAAGCTCTGTATTTAACCTTGCAATGCAACCTACGGTAGTATTGTCATTTTGCAGGAGAGTAGCTTGGCACTGAAAACATTTTCAAGGCTTTGAAACCAACAAATAACAGCACCAAAAATTTAAAATCAGGTCTTTCTCTAGCATACTTTATGTTTCTAACCAGTATCTCCACGATGCCACCAGAAGAGGAGGAATGGTATGTTTTTGAACCCGCATCTATAAATATGGGCAAAATTTATTTTAAAATGGAATGTGACTGGCTGAATCTATCCAGCTAACAGAAGGTTCTTAAAAATATCCAGGGCAGAAATGAGTCAACTGTCACTGTCAGGCAGCTGCAGATCCGTGCCCGTCCCCCTCCCCAACACCGCGGGAAGGGCCACACAGGCAGTGAAGCTTCCTGGCCTTAAGGCCCGCTCCAGGGCCACCTCACTTGGGGCTGGGGAAGGCGAGCTGGGGCACACACCCTCAGGCGCCACTACTTACTCCCTCAGCTCCTTCCTTCTCGGGGGTCAGCCCTGCGGTTTATCCACTCTTTAACAAAGGCTTCCCAGGGCTCGGACAGGAACAAAGGACTCCCCAGCCCCGTCAGGTCTGGTGGCGGGAGGGTGGCGGGGCCGCTCGGGAGTCGGGAGGCCGGGTCAGCAGCGCGGGGACCGGGAACCCCACCTGCGCGGGGGCGAAGCGGCCCTCGCAGAAGCGCTGCGCCTGCGGCAGGTGGAAGACCTCGTCCATGTAGGGCTCCCGCAACGCGCGGCTGAAGGCGGAGAAGAGGAGGCAAGACACCAGAAAGGTGCAGCTCAGGGCCGCGGAGAAGTAGTACCCCTCCAGCTGCGCCATGCCTGCCCCGATGGCCGCGGTCGGGAGAGCCCAGTCCCGGAAGACGCAGCCCGCCAAGCCAACTAGCAACTCAGGCTTGAAACAGGCGCGCAAGTCAGGACTGACCGGAAGGAACTCAGCACAGCCGGAAGGCAAAGGATGCTGGGAGAGCGCGGGCCGGAAGAATCACTGGGTCACTGTTTCCTGAGTGACGAGTTTCTGCGACGGACCCGGCTCTTGTCCTGTCAATCACATTGCCCGAGGCGCACAGGGTGGTCAGAGCCTCCGGGCAGGTCGGGTCTAGGAAATCTGCGCCTGCGCGCTAGTAGCCTGGCTCAACCTGTAGGTTTTCTCTGGTCGATCCCGTATCTGATCACAAGATGGCGGTATGTGCTCGCGTTTCCAATCTCCAAACAAACCTTGCCTTTCTTTAGTTATTTCTTTGCTCTCTTTCCCATTGATCTGAATTACTAAAACCTTCAATCAGAAGACACTTCACTCCGTTAACGCCAGATAGTGGGAGCAAAGACTGGTGCTTTCAGATAAAGCTGGAAGGACCCGAGACCCGTCCTTACTGCGTGAGCAAATCGCTTACAGCACGTGGGCACTCTCTCAGCGGACCCTGCGAAGCCAGCATCCAGATTGCACGCCGACAGCCCGACCTCGCTGGCCTGGAGTAGGAGGAGCGATTATTTTAGAATTTTGGACGTCTTAGAGAGGAAGGGTGCTGTGTGCGTGTAAATGTGTTAAGATTCTCTGTTGCACTGCCCGGTGTTGGTGCCTGAACATCTAAACGGGTGGTACTATACATTGCATATGTTTGTAGTCCCTCACATGGTTTTCCCTCAGGTATATGAAGTTGCAGACCTTAAAGGCAGTTGCAGATTATATCGTGTCGATTTCACACATCTCTGCATTCTGATACTGGAGGTTGAAGGCAAAAGAGAGACAGGTTGTTTGAGGAATGCTGAAGATAAATTATGTTTTGTAATTTTGCCCTGAGCACAGTTGGCAATGTTTTGTATAAAAATCCCTCCAGTAACCTCTGTCAGGTGGCCTCCTGCTGAAAAACAGCCAAAAAAAAAAAAAAAAAAAAAAAGCCAGTATTTGTTTTGGACTGCAAACTTCAGGGTTCTCAACCCCGTTCTTTCGTTCTTTCTCTGGGTCAAGCTAATTCAGTCTGTCTTAGTTTAAGGGTAGCTTCTCAAAGCTGACTGAGTCCCTTAAGAATCTCAGCTATTTTCTCAATGATAAGAGGAACTCACTGAAATCAGCTCATGTTAATTCTTTGCTCTGATGTGATGCTTAGCTTTGTCTTTTCTATTATCTCCCATTTGATTATTGCGTCCTTACTGTACTTACCTGACATCATCTCCAGAGGATTCAGTATTTAAGACGTTATTATCTAGAAGTACCGTAATTGGCCACAAACCCAGCCAATCATAATATACAGGGGTGGATCAAAACATGTGTGCTTAAAATTTATTGCAGTAAAAGACACGGTATCATTAACCCTTTCAAAACACCTTCACTTAGAACAAATCCCTTCGTTCTGGCCAATTTCTGAAGTACTTCTGAAAGTTCTCTTCCATGAGTGTCTTTACCAGGTGTAATTAAAACAAAACAAAACAACAGCAACAAAAAAACTGAATAAATGTAGCCGCCGAGTGAAACCCAACCCAAAGGCAGGCTTGGTAAAAGACGACAGAGGGTCCTCATCTACCTTATTCACTACATCTGACACCATGCGACTTCGGCCTCTTGCCCTAAAGTCAAAATGACCATGAAAGACAAACATTTTAAATCAATTCAGGACATTAAGGTAACCACAAGAGCACAACTAAAGAGGACTTCCAGCACTGCTGTAGAATGTGTCCAGAACAATTGGAGACGTGTTCAAAGCGAGGGGGAGTATTTTGATGGGAATTAATGGCAACGAGTCTTTTAGTGTAATTTTTAAAAATGTAAACATTCACCATTTATTTTTGTCACACCTCATACATAATCTAAATCTTACTGACCCTCCCTAGAAATAATGGACATATTTTTAAAGATTTGCATAAGGCTAGATGTTTATGCTATACATTTCTTTCCATAATAACTGCTACCAAGATCTTCTGTTAAATATCTGACTCTTGTACTTACCTCATATACCTCTTCAACTTCATTGAAAAGTTTGAAGGAAATATGAGGGTTTAGAACTTCTTTATTAGTAAGGGAACTTTATTAATAATAGACATTTTAAAGACGAAGCTGTAGATAAAATAAGTGATTTACCAGAAAATGCAAAGAAAATTAGTGATCGAAGAAGGGGTAGAAATTACAACACCAGACCAAGAGTAATAAAATAACTCCATAGTCTTAGGGTTTAAAAGAATCTGCAATTTATATTGAACTGAGTATTTGATTAGCCTCAATAAATTTAAATTTGTATTCCACTCTGTTTCTAGCAACCAAGTGGACTAATACAAATTGCATTTTCAAAAAGTTTCACGGATTGATTACATCAAAACCTGCTGGAAAGCATTGTAAAAATAAGATTCCAATGTACTCTCTCAGAATACTTAATAATTATCTTCAGATTTTGAAAACACCAATGTAAAGTCCATTACCTAATGAAGTAAGAAGTTGTGTGGACCAAATAAAGATTTTTCTAGAATATTCTATGGTTTGTTTTACTATCTACAAACTAACAAAGCTGTTGTTACTTTAATATAATTTGAAGTTACCACATATAATGCAAATTAAAAATACTTTCCCCAGCTCTGCTCCTAAATCAAGACTTCCCATTAAAATAGCTGTCTCTGGGGATTTTAATAAAGTTACACATTCTTAGAGTTATCTTTTAAAATTGAATCACTATTAACATTTAACTTTAAGAATTCCAATCCTCATTTTCCATTAGATATTTATTTTATGAAGAGTCATCACCAGGATAAGCAATCTCATCATCATTAAACATCAAATTATTTATTATGTGTTTCTGTAAGAATTATAACATAGGAAGTTATGGCAAAATGTTAGATTTCTGATTGGGTTCTAAGGATAATTTTTAAGGATTTCTTGCGAGCAAGAAGTAAATCTTTGGTTGAATCCATTAGGACTTTTGTATTTATTATTGCTAGCACATTTTTAATTTGGTGCACTTAATATAACACTGCATGTGCTTAACTGTGTGAAATTCCCTCTACTGACCAGGAGATTTCCCAGAGGTTATAAGTGTAACTGAAGAATTTGTGCAAGTATCCTTTCACTTTGAAGTGTTAGCCCAATTAATATGCAGCTTTGAATTCACCCTTTTTCACTTCTTGCTGAACCAAAACTTTGGCCAACTGATTGTCATAGTGATGATTTACTAAGTTTTGGGTGATAATTACAGTGGGGTAGAGTACAGTGGAGCAGAATTCTAGGTAATTACTTCCAAAATGGAAGTTTAAACTTAAGGTCAATGTAAACATAGTACTTAAAAATCCACATTGTTTTACTAATGAAAAGGAAACACAAAAGTCTAGTACGAAAGTTTTATTACTTGTTTTACTGAAAATGACTTGAAGATGTGCTGTTGGGCAACTGTCCCCAATATTTTTGGCACTAAGGACCAGAATTATGGAAGACAATTTTTCCATGGATGGTAGGGAGCGGTTTTAGGGGTCTAACCCCCTCCTTTTGCTTAAATTCTTTTATTGGTACATTTTAGGTATACAATATGTTTACATTTATCATTGGGTGCTTGTACCTGTACATGATGTATCTTGGTTCTTATTTTTTCCCCATTCCCTGTGCTCCCTTCA